AAAAAAAAAAAAAAAAGAGGACACCAGTAAGGACCAAATGAACATCAGAGACCCCATCAGTGCAGACTGTTCTGTGCTATTTCTTGGGTAAAATAATGTTATATATGTGTAATTTGCAGCCTAATATTGTGTTATATAATACGTTGTATTCCGAAATATCTTTCATCAAATCACTCTGAAAGTGGTTTGGTTTTCTTGAACTGCAGCTCCCAGAGATTGAGCATATTAGAGGAGTTTTAGAGGTGGAAATTCTGCGGATGGTGCTCTTTCTTTTGTCTTTCAGTCTGTTTCTCCCAAACGTCTAATATTTATTCCAAATGAACTAGAAAGATTGTGTGTATTGAAGGATCAGTGAGGGGAAATTACCTGCTCAAACTCAAAATGTTCTCTGGGCTGTGGAGAGCCGAGCACCTGACCTGACCACCCAGGACCAGCTTCAAATCAAGCATATCGAACCATCCCCCCAACTCACTATTCATTTAGTAAGCGGTGGGTGAATAGATTAAAGAATGCCACCCCCGCCCTTGGCCACCCTCTTGACCCCAGCTGAAACAGCCCTCCGAACATTCCTCTTCAGATTCTTTTCACACAGTCTTTACAGGCTGAGGGCTCTGCTGCTGCTTGCTTTTACCAGCCTTCAGTTTCAGGAGAAGGGGGGTTGATTGTTTTATTGACTACATGGTTTGTTGAGTCACGTGAGTCATTTGCTTTTATTTCCTAGTACCATGAAGCAAAAACACCCACTGTTTAGCAGCTATTTAGGACTTTACCAGAATAATTGATGTGAAATTCTCAGAATGTCAGGGGATTATTCCAATCTTTTAGATCAAAACATAATGTTTCTTCATTTTGGACAGCCATCTTTGTCTGCACGTCAGCTGTTGATTTAAAGCACAGTTTGCAGAACAGTTTTCATCCTGTCTGCTTTGCTGCTGTTGGGCTCCGTGTCTCTAAGCTGTCAAACTAGGTATGAAGCTTATCAGCCCTGTTTACTTCTTTCACCTAGTGTTTACTTGTTTACTTGTGTTATGTGTCCTCTGCTCAGTGTATTTTTAAATTTAATGTTTACTAAATGTACTGAACTGTAATGGATTGCAGTTTTTTGTATCCTGATTAGGTAACTCAGTTACATGTAATCCGTTACATGTAAGCCTGTGCATTATTACTGTATTTAGACCAGTGAGCTGAGCTAAATATTATGCTAACAGGCTCACAATGACAATTTTAGCATGCTGATGATTTGCAAGTTATAATGTTTACCGTGGTTGATGTCTAAGTTTAGGATTTTACCATGCTAACATTAGCTAATTAACAATAGACACAAAATAAAGCTGTAGCTGATTGGAATATCATTAGTTTTGCACACATTTGGTCATATTAAGTATTGGACAAATTTAAATGTTGGCATGATGGTGCCTGATGAAAAGTCCGAAGTTTACCAAAGTTATTTAAATTCACCCTGAAGGGAACATTAATGTCAGAACTAAATTATATAGCAATCCATCCAATAGTTACCAAGATATATCAGCCTGGACCAAACTGATGGCCCAACCAACATTGCCAGAGACATGCTGCTATAAAGGTTTAGAATATGGGCATATAAAGGAATCTAAAGGCACCAAAATGAATTAAACAAAGCAAATTGAAATAAATCAGTTTTAATTCAGTTAGTGAATTTACCATGTGAATTATTACAGTAACAGAAGTTCCAACCCCCTCAATGTTGACAGGCACAAATCCTTTTTATGGTTAATTAAAAGAAAGATAACACCTTAAATGAATGACATTGTTAAATTATAGTTCTGTTTCTTTATCAGGTGTGTTCATTCATTCACAGTAATTTGAGGTAATGTGTGTTCACTCTAAGAAAAATACACATACCTTTGCCCAGTGAATATTTGTCATACAGATGTATAATTAGCTAGTGTCACTTCCCGTTCGATCAATCATTAACCTTTGCACACACAGTCAAACACACTGTGCATGTTTTTCTCTTGTCCTCTGTCCACAACAGAACAGACAGACTCTGTGTTTGACCATACTGTTAGGTTTGGATTGTATTTGGGTTCATAATTCTTTCCTGTAGCCACCATCTTCCTCCCTGCTGTGAAGCACAGTCATGTGTTTGGTGTTAATGAATGACACACATCAAGATCTGGAGCTTCATCAAATGATTAATTGAAGCCCTTAAGCAAAATGACTTACAGTTGTTTTGGTTTTTTGGATTTGGAATCCATAGCTTGGGAGACTCAACACTAGTAGCCACC